CCTACAATAAAAAAAATAAAAAAAGAACATTAGTAAATGTTTTTAAACGAAATTAATATAAAAAACCCCCAGTTCCCACTTACTTCTCATTCTAGGCATCTATTTTGAAGTTTAGAAAGCACCCCTATAAAAAAAAGATTAAAAAAAATGTTAAATTATCGGTAATCAGATCAACAAGTCATATGATCTGTATAACCGATATTCCTATACCGAAGAATTCATTATACAATACCGAATAATTCGTTATAGTGTTAACAAAGTTGCTTATAACGAAGCCCTGATCAGCTGGAACCTAGGGTTCGTTATATCGAGAGGGGACTGTATTTAATGTATTTTGGAATTCAAATATAATTTTGGATTTTATAAAAACAGTTCTGGAATAATTTCAGTTTCAAAATTTTTTAATATAAAAATAATTATATTATTTAATGTATTTTGGCTTGAAGAATTCAAATAACTTCAAATATAATTTTGGGTACTATTAAAATTAATTTCGGATTTTATAAAAACAGTTTCAGTTTCCAGAGTTTTGAGCCATTAAGAGAGGAATATTTCTGTTTTATTTATCTTGCATATTCTCATATAATGTGAACTTTTATATTTAACAATTTATATCATTCCTATATTTTGTAAAACAAAATTTATAAAGTTTATTATTTTAGAAAGAAATTTTGTTAAGATTGAATCATCATATGAGTTGTTTCTAAGGTTGCTTGCCGAAACTAGGAGGTTTCGGCGGGATGGCGTATGCGAAACTGCTGAAACTAGTTTTGCAAAATTGGTCTAAAATGTTAAAATGCCGTAACTGCCAAAACTTGCCGAAACTGTTTAAGCTTCTGTAACTGTTTCGGCATAGTACATCATATGATATACATATAGTTTCAGCAACATTATGAATTATGATCTACCGATCTGATATAAAAGATAATCTTATACTTCTCCGCGAATTAATTACAGTTTCGGCATTATGTCTGTAAGATGCGTCGTAATTAATTTTGGCATGGATTTTTTTTTTGACACAATGCCGTATTCAGCCATATTGAATTTATACAGACATAATTGCTGAAATTTGCCAAATTTATCAAATTGTCAATGATTTACACCAATCCGGCACAGGAAAGTTAAATTATCAAACAGATTGCATAGTACAAATCATCTGATGATCTCTTTTTTCTTGTATTGAGGTTTCTGAGGACCCCGGATATCTAATATAAAGGTCATAATGGACTTTTGGCCAAAAACACCCTTTTTGCTGAAACTCAAAAAATCTTATTTTGTAAATATCTCAGCATCCAGTAATTCAATTTTAATGAACTTTTTTTTATTTTGTAGCCCTCATTTAGCTCTACAATTTAAAAAAATGTTCATCAAAATTGGACTACTGGATGCCGAGATATTTACAAAAAACGATTTTTTGAACCCCTGAAAAATGGGCCAATCTGCCGAAAGTGTGACTTATAACCTGTTTTGGAGATATCC